CCCGCAGTTGCGTACACTTGTATTTGACCACCCGATCTCTGCGACCAAGCTGGCTGCATTGGTGTGGCGTGAAAAGGGGTCGCCTGTTGAGGTTGTGTATTCCGAGGGTGGCGCTTCTCAGTAGAGAGACTCGGACCTGCCCGAGGTACACACCAGAGAGAAGTCGTGTATTATGATAGTTGCTGGCTCGTAACATTTATCGGTGCCGTGAATTTGATGATTGACTGAAAGATGCTCCTTGTTCTTACCACCGCGCATATATCCTCGCAATGTCAATGAGGATCGTTTGAGCATCTGCAGTAGAAGAGTCCGATCGCGTGCAAGGCTGGGAAATAGAAGCGAGGGGCGCAAGCGCGTGCGTGGGTCTTCCGCGACTTGACCCAACACCACCATCAGGCCATCCTGGCTCGGCGTTCCCCCGAGACTCTGTTGAATAGCATCAAGCTCTCATGTTAGACCGCATAGAAAGCGTCGATAACCTGCGATTGCCGGTGACGAACGGGAGCGCAATGGTCTTCCGATTGCCCAACGAGCTGCTCGGTGAAATCGCCAAGGCTTTACCTCCCCCGACATTCGCTGGCAATCAGTTCAATGAAGTATCCTATCCCGCCTTTTCACTCTCGCACACCTGTAAAGAGTGGCGTGAAGTCGTGATGGCCTATCCGGACTGTTGGCGTTATATCCCATGCACCAATTCCCATTGGCTCGAGGAAGGGTTGCGTCGCTCGGAAGGCGCACTCTTGCATCTATATATCGATGTCTCCACCATCCCTGCTATCCATTTTACGGCAAATCGACTAGCTAGGCATGCATCGAGGGTCTGCGCAATCATCATGGATGACTTTACCCACTCGGAGCCAGCGCATTATGTGGGCGCGAATAGATTTGTTTTGATGAACTTCTTGATGCTAGACTTCCCTGCTCTCAGACACGCAACTCTGTTACGATGGTACAATCCGACTTCGTACAGTTTCATACCTCCTACCATATTTGCTGGGAAGGCGCCGCTCGCGATGCAGGACCTCGTCATTTCCGATGCCATCTTATTTTCTCTTCACCCTCTAGTCGAAGGCCCTTTAAGGCATTTGGAGATAACGAGTACCCACCTCTGGCTCAAGACCGATGCAATTATACAGCTTTTCAAAGCTCCATGCTGCTTGGAGGTTTTCATCGCGCGTCAGAACCCTGATCTTGATTATATGCCTTGGAATGCAGACTTGCTGCAACCACCACGGTGCATAGAAGTCGCGTCGCTCCGGGAAATCACCTTCGTAGGCTTCATGCACGACGCCCTGGAGGCTTTCAAACTCCTGGTGCTACCTGTCCATTGCAATATTCACATCGAGGACCTAGAGCCCCCTCTTCATAAGTTAGAGGACGGCTACGATTGGAAGAGAGGACTTCATGATAGCCTTGATGTGCTGAACTCGCATCTTGCCACTGTCCCAGCGGACGCAATGATGCATGCATCCTCCCATGTTTCACTGTCCTATCGTCATTTTGAGATTGATTATAAACTTGCGACGGAGATCAAACTGAGCATCTATTACGTGCCCGACCGAGCGAGTTCACGAATCACATCCTTTGAAATCGTCTTCTACATGAGCGATGAGCGCATGGGGAAATCCTTTCACATTGCAAGGTTCTGCGAACTCCTCGCACCGCATCTATTCTCAAACGCACATACCCTTCGCCTGGAACTGTCGAGCGTCTGCCATGATCTCCCGACGTACGAGCTCTGGGAGGTCCTGGCAGCGATGCCTTCTGTCAGGACTTTGACACTCGCGGGTAGAGCTGGCGAAATGCTCTTCGTACACGAGACACACAATCTTTCACTATGCGAAGTACACGCGAACTTACGGACGCTGACTCTCAGTCGGCTAGACTTCGGAAACAGTCTAACTGCCGAGAAACTAGTCATGGCTTTACAAGCCAAGGAGGGCAGATCATGGAGCCTTGAAGCTCTAGATCTTGAAGATTGCATCGGTTTTTCTCCGAACGACAAAGAAGACTTGCACACGCTGGAATCAAAAGGGGTGTCTATTGAGCACACTAGTGTTGACGATGTTAGCAGATCGAATGAGTGATCGAAAAGATATATTGATACCTAGTTATCCTATCATAGGTACTTGCTCTACGCATCCTACATGTACTTTTACACTTACTAGTCGAGACTTCTATACCCTATGACGGTCCGAAAAGTAGCTATACAGATAGAAGGACTCCGATCAGAGAACCTTCGTACTACACGCCGTCGTGCATCCTCTCTCTCGTACTACCCGACCCGGAAGTCCTCTACGGCAACGCGCCCATCTGCCTCAAAACTAAGTCAGGCATAAGCAAAGTTGAGGAGATTCTGGGCTCCATCAATAGGATCTACTTTTGGTTGAAGATGGGTGAGTGGACGCCGCGGGGGTTTGTTGGTAATCGAGGGCGGGACGAAGGTGGTCGCGGCGTAGGATCCTCAAGAGATATAGGAGGAGGCGGTGGGTGCGGGGGTGGCAGCCGTAGTTACCGTGTACGGCACCGGGGGACGGGTGGGGTACATGGGCTATCTCGCGCGGTCGTGCGCGCCGCTTCTTCGCCAGGTAGAAGTCTTGCGTGATGACGTTCCAACCTCCTTATCAAGTGCCTCGTCCCAGGATCCATCATCTGTGTATGGGTATCGAGGATGGAGGCAGGTGGGAGAGCATATGAGCGCACCTTCTCTAGACGGGCCAAGCTCGTCCATACGCGCAGATATTCCTCTCCACAAGGGAGTAGTCGCCCTTCAGAAAACGCATGCGTAGATCAGACACCAGCCTCGCGTAAGCGTCGAGCAAGACGTACGTTATAAACAGAAAGGCTGCATTTCTCTTGCCGTATTCTCGCCCGCTTCGCCACTAAAACTCGACTTGAGAATGGACACGGCGAAATCCGAGATGTTCGATTTGATTCGTCGCATGTCTTGCATGGATTCCACGGAGACGAGCGCGTGGAGAGTGTTCTTCGCGTTCTTGCTTCATGTTGTAAGACTTGACAAAGTTCGAACAGGTGAAAGAGGGAAGCAAGTGGCGTGGGCATATCGCAGCGCGCGCGACAACTTGAACTGCGTGCTCGTCGCCGCTCGCGTCTTGACCAGAACCACCGTCTGTCCATCCCCACTGCTGGAGATCTCTGTTCATTATGTCGGATCCTTCCTCACTCATCGATGTCGCGCGATCGACAGTATCGAACAGGCGCTGTGCAATCTTTCAACTGCCTAACGAACTCATGGGCAAGATCAATCATGCACTATCGCCACCAGCTTTCACGGGTCCCAGATTCGACGAGCGCTCTTACCCTGCCTTTGCATTATCACACACTTGCAGACGGTTGCGAGAATCGATCCTCTCTTTTCCGAAGTGCTGGCGTTGGATTCCTTGCACCAATGCACACTGGCTTGACGAAGGGCTGCGCCGCTCGGATGGCGCGCTCCTGCATCTATACATCGACGTTGACACTCTGGATGCTCTTCATTTGACCAGGCACCGGCTAGCTTCTCAAACACGTAGAGCTCAAATCATAACGCTGGGCGAGATGACCGACGCGCGCTCGTCCCAATCAGTGGTCTCAAAGTCCAGAGGCATGCTCGATCTGAAACATTTACTTAACCTCGAATATCCTTGTCTCGAGGAGGCGTCTCTGATGCAATGGAGCCCCGCTGTTTTGCCACTTTACATGCCGTCGATATTAGACAACCATGACCCTTGGCGCAAGGCGACGCCGATGCCGCTGCGGCACCTTGTCGTCTCGGATGCCATACTGGTCAGGGTGCAACACCTTTTTCGGGCACCTTTGACGTATTTTGAGATAGTCAGAGGAGTCATCTGGGCAGGCTTGGATGATATGATTGCTTTCTTCAAGGCTTTACCTCAGCTGGAAGTCTTCATCGCACGCGACTGCGATTATCTCTTTACTGGCGGTGCGGAGGTGGTAGGAATCCAGGACGAACAGGACGAACTATACCCGCCACACCCATATCGGGTGGTTATGCCTGCGCTCAAACACTTCACCTGTCGTGGGCCATTTTATGACGGACTGGAAGTCATGAGACGTCTCTCCTTGCCTGCTACTTGCATAGTGCACCTCTCGGGTTCAGAAGCAGCACTCGGCCACCACTTGGCCAATATGTCTGACTGGGAAGCGACACTTTCCACGCTGTCTCCGCACCTCCAGGCCATCCCCGCTGCTGCGATGAATGACCCGTCTGCCGGCCTCTCACTTCACTATTGCCGTCTTCCTGGCGGGTACGCGACTGAGATCAAACTTACGCTCACCTACGTGAATGAATTGGAGAGCTCTCAAGTCATAACCTTCGAGATCGGGGTATGCTTCGCCAATAGCTTCCTACAAAGCACCCCCGACTTTACGCCTTCCTTCGTACGCCTTGCCCAGCACCTATTCGCCAATACTCGCATGCTCCGTTTAGAGCTCACAGGCTTCGACGCCGATGACCAAGTGCCCGAACCCGATCTGTGGCAAGCCGTGAAGCAAACACCCGCTATAGAGAAGCTTCTTCTCGCCGGTGGTGCCGCGAAGGTCCTTTGCTATCACGGATTTAAACACGACCCAACTCACGCTCTGGAGAGCGCTTTCCGGAAGTTATGCACACTTATACTTGGACGTGCAGACGAGCGAATGCTTGAGCTGAATGATCTCCCGGCATTAGTTCGGCGTGAGGGTGGGCCGCCTGTAGAGATTGTGTATCTCGAGGGTGATGCCTCACACTAGGAAGACATGCCCACCGCGCCGCCGAGTGGCTCCCATCATATGTTGTATGCACACTGTAAGCTCGTTCTGGGCTTTCTCCTTACAGACTTGAACGAACGAAGGAACTGCAGGAACTGCAGGATGTCTTGACATTTATGACTTCATATCGCGCTTACTTTACTCATGCACTTATGTGTACTTCCGTTTGAAATCTGTGGTATCTGCCACTTAGCACTTATCCTTCAATATTAGTATGAACACATCTATATGGGCAAGTGACGCAGTGGTAGCGTGTTCGCTTTGCATCCTGAGCTTGCGAGAAGCCCTGGGTTCAATCCCCAGCTTGTCCATCATATCTGCTTGTTAGTTTGTTTTGGCCCCCTCAGCACTGTTCTTTCGTAAGTAACGCCTAAGCACAATGACACTCTGCTCGTACAATTTTTTAGATGAGCGGCCCATCTCGTCAACGCACAGCGTGAGACGCGTCGTGCTTGCTCTTGACCACGACGGTCTACCACCACACTACATTCAGTAACACATCTCAGGTCGAATCTAACATGCAGAACTCGGAAACACGATTCTCCTTCATGGATCGTATAGATAAACTCCTGGCGGAGCTCCTTCACAGAGGTTTTGTCTCCGCGCGATCATCATGATGGACTCGGAGCATCCGAAAAATCACCCGTCTTCTTTTCGCCCTAGAAGTACTACTCTAACATCACATGCGCCGGTGACGTCTGGGACCCTACTTATGTCTTGACTTGGCCTATCCTGACAATGTACTACTTATATGATCGAGGATGCGCGTGAGTGCCAGACCTGTAGTGCCCTCTCTGCTGAGAGGTCAGAGCTACGGGTAGACTCATCCGCCACTGCCCGCTTCGTTTATCTTGTTTTCTCGTCTATGGCCGACGGTGGATCCATGATGTGATCTGTAATGCCCGATGACCTCGTAGTGCTTACAGCCACTCGCCCACGGTGGCGCAAAGTGGCCGCAAGCAAGGTGCTTCCTGCCACCACTGTCACCTGCGAGGCGATCTTGACAGATCAACTACGAATCATCATCAGAGCTGCTTGTAGGTCATTTCAACACTGCTGTCCAGAGCATAGGTATGACTACAGATAATTCTGCATCTCATACCACGCCTTAGGCTCACATGAGCTCTCTAGCATCTTCGATTGTAATCTGCTGCGATCATGCCCGTACAGTTCTTTATCGCATTCTATCGCTCTGGCGTCCCGATGAAGTACCACTGGGTTCTCGTCGCCACAGACGATGGCATTCCATCCTCGACCGAGCCTATCAAGTGCTTCGAGATCATGCAAGAGCGCATCCTGGATGACACTGGGCCTGAGCCGATCGTGGTGCCCGTATGGGAAACGCAGCTCGGCAAACGTACTCAGCTCAGCGACAAGACCTCCAACTTTAGAGGACTAGTGATGTTCCCCCCATGCACGGACGAGAGCGTCACACTGGAAAGCGTTTATGACGTCCTCGAGAACGTCCCTGCCATGCCACCATCCATCGCGAACTCGAAAGACGAGCGGAAACGACAGGACTGGACGTGCGCGAAGTGGATCATCGACATTCTACTCGAGTTTGGGCCTATTTGGGGCTTGGAGTTCAACAGAAGCATGAACACGGAGACGATGCTGTACTATGAGATATATAAGCAGGCGCATAAGTTGGACGAGGCATTTGGTTCGCCGACGAGGAGGGAGTATGCCAAGGATGGCAGTCTTGTGAACTGCGTGCCGTTTCCCCAGGAGTATGTGGAGATGGCATAGTTTATTGTTTTTGTAGTTTTCTGGTCTTCTATTCACTCGCCAAGACACGACGGCACCTGTATCGAACAGAGCTACCTGAGGCTGGCGGCATTGCAGGGTCCGTGGCATCCGATCGATTAGACTCAGATGTATCTTCTCAATGCAGACGGTCTTGCATCGCCCACAGATGACGCTCTTTAGAGCTCCCCGCGACTGTGTCCAATACGTGTACTATACACCGGCCATCTGATCTATGATGCGCGATGACCGTTGCCGGATCTTATACGGTACTTACACCACTGACCCACGATGGCTGAAGGGGACCGTATAAGAGAGGCTTTCTACCACCATGGCTCCACTGCTAACGCCACTCACCCCGTCAGCGCGCTGTTGTTCTCAGCGCGTGAGCTACTGCCGCCGAATCGAAGTGCGTACACTTGACTGCGAATCTTCGAGCTGATCATCCAGCTTACATTCCCCTACCAGCTTAACTTCCCTCCGGACCCTTGATCTATCGATGCCAGTGCAATTCTTCATCGCATTCTATCGCACCGGCGATCCTCGGAAATACCACTGGGTCCTCGTCGCAACAGACGACGGCGTCCCCTCTCCAACCGAGCCTATGAAATGCTTCGAGATCGTACCCGTACCCGTCCTAGACGCCTCCGGATCCGAAACGACAGTAGCACCCACATGGGAACCCCAACACGGCAAACGCACCAAACTCGCCGACACCAAATACCAAGGTCTCCTCATGTTCCCACCCTGCACCGACCCAAGTCTCACGCTCGAAGGCGTACACAACATTCTGGAGACCGTACCCGCAATGCCGCCCCTCGTCGCTCAAAACGAGATGGAGCGCTTACAATGGACGTGCGCGAAATGGATCATCGATCTGTTTCATGAGTTCGGGCCTATGTGGGGTCTGGATTTCGTGCCGAGGACGATGGAGAGTGAGACGACGTTGTATTATGAGATCTATAAGCAGGCTTATAAGTTGGAGGGAAACGAGGAAGGGTTTTACAGTACGGTGGAGGTTGCGAGGGACGGTAGTAAGGTGAAATGCGTGCATTTTCCCGAGAAGTATCTCAGGACGGTTTGAATCACATACGCCACAGTTCTCATTTGGGTCTTCCTTGTCATTCTTGAACATTTTTCATTGGGTTAGGGCCGTTCTATGTATCTGTAGAGCTGTCAGGGTATGCACGCTGTCTTGAATGGAACGTTTTCACGTCTTGATCCGCGTTACCAAGATCGGAAAGTAGTGATTCCGAAGTCATCAGCGATATACAAAGGGGAAACGTCATTCATTCTATCGCATCCTGGTCAAGACATCCGTAGCAGTGTAATCCAACAGCACACAAGCGCATGCGAATCATTCAAGCAGAAGGCTGGACAACCGCGGGCTCGGCCTTAGCCTCGGCGGCCTCTACTGCGGGCTCCACGGGGGGAGCAGCAGGAGCGGGTGCCTCGGGCTCAGCAGCGGGTGGCTTGGGCGCTTCGACGGCGGCGGCAGTGGATGAAGTCTCGAAGAGCTTGCCAACGGCGATCTTCGAAGCCTCATGCACCTCGTCGACGGTCACAGACGAGTCGATCTGTGAGGACACACGTTAGCGCAAGCTCCTGAGAACCGCGATAAAACAGTACCTTCGCAACGCGTCCGATCTTCTCGTAGTGCTCGATAACAGGCATCGTCTGGTCCCGATACGTCACGAACCTCTTCTTAATACTCTCAATATTATCGTCCGCCCTCCCGCTCGTCTCACCCCTCTTCAACAACCTCCCCAACATAACCTCCTCACTAGTCTCATAAAACAACGTCAGACTGCTCACACAAACGCTCTGCTCGAACTTCTCCGCTTGATCCATCTTACGAGGGAACCCGTCGATCAAGAACCGTCCCTTACCGTTCTCCCAGCCAACTTGGTTTTGGGCGGAACGGGTGGAAAGGGCGTCGGTCATGGCGTTTGCGAGCAGGGCGACTGTTACTTCCATGGGTACGATTGAGCCTTCGCGGATGCAGGTCTTGATGAGGTCGCCGTATTGGGAGCCTTCGCGGTCTTGTTCGGCGCGGAGGAGGTCGCCGGCGGAGAGATGGCAGAAGCCGTAGTCCTGGACGAGGAAGGCGCATTGGGTGCCCTTGCCTGTATATATGGTTAACATAGATCATAAATATGGACTGAATATGTATTACCTGCACCGGGACCGCCAAGAACAAAGACGACCGTGACGTCCTCGCGCTTGAACTTGGGCGATTCGGTGGCAAGCTCGGGCGCAGCAGGCGTAGCCTCCTTTGCCTCCTCCTTCTTGACCTCCTTGTGCTCCTTCTCCTCCTTCTTATCCAGATGCAACGCGTGCTTGAACTTGTCGATAATAGTCGGAGCCATGATTAGATACGCTTAGGTGGAAGATCGAGTACGTCGGCGTGTTGGAGCGGCACGTTCTGATGATCAGACTGTCGAGGACGAGAAGAGGCTGGTGTGGTGTGTGCGCGATGGCGGGAAGTAAAGTAGAGGGTGGTTGTGGCTGCTGCAGCGACTGCGACGAATAGGAAAGGGTTGGGCAACTTGCTGGCCATGAGATCAGAATCCACGTTCCAGCCTCGCCAACTTTCGCGTGACGTCTCTTGCCTCCTGACTTGTTCGTCTCGACGCGTCTTGTTCTCAACACAAACTATACCCGAAAAATGGATCTGCGCGAAGAGTTCCCATCTGGTATACTCGTCGTAGAGGCTGCACACCACGCAGACGCACTCGACTTGCTCGCTGTCGGCACTTCAGACGCGGTCTATGTTATTCAAGCTACACCCAACCACCTCACCCGTCTCGCCACATTCCACCTCGGCGCACAAGTCTGCGCCATATCTTTCTCGCCACAGACAGTCTCCCCGACCGTCTCATCTGAACCTATACTCGAGCTCGTATGCGCGACCAGCGACTTTGGGCTGCATCTACTTTCCAAAGAAGGCTCTGAAGAAACTATATTCGACTTTGGCGGTGGCTTGACCGGTCATCATGCCTCTGTGTCTGCCTTGACGTTCTGTGGTGGCGCGGAACGTTATGTTGCGAGTGCGAGCGCAGACCATATGCTCATTATCTGGGACTTGAGTCCGCAATTGGATATACCCTCCACGTTCTCTACATCGCCCTCACCTTCTCCTGCACGCAATCAACCCACAGCATACCGTAAGTCATAGCCGTTCGACCTTCGAAATCACTCTACTGACCCAACTCCACCTCCAGCCATCCCATTCCCCCATCCCCTCACCGCCCTCTCCTCCCACCCCCGCTCCGACAAAGACCTCTTAATATCCGACTCCCGCGGAACCCTTTACCTCCTAGACTGGCGTTCCGAACGCGGAGCCACAGACACCATCCTCTCCCGCCGCGCAACCCTCTCCCTAACCTTCCCCCGCGCACTCGCCTCTCCAGACGCACACGCAACAGGCGCAGGAAGCGCCGCTTGGGCACGGGACAATATGGATCTGGTATGCGCCGCGTATGGAGGATCGTTTGCGGTTTGGGATGTGAGCGAGTTGAAGGGGGGTGCACCGGTTTGGACCGCGGAGGCTTGTAAGGGAGGT